AGACTTGGAATCATGCAACTTGGTTGCATGATGAATGAGAAATTTTATATTTGGAAATTAGACTAATTCGTTGACAAAATGTCAAGTGAAGGACTAGGAGATCGAGTACACAAAGTTGTGTGTTGATCAAGTCCACCATAAGAGTGACAAAGATATTCGTCATGATTTACTAAAGGTTTAGTAAATCATGATTATACTTATAAGATTAAGTGTAATTCTGAGTTGATTGAAAGAGTTTCAATCAATAGCAGAACGGATAAGAAGAATCAAGTAGGCAGAAAGATAAAAGTTTCTCTATTCTAAGAAGAAGGGAGAGTACCTTTTATTATGTTTTATGATAGGTCTTAATGATTAAGAACCATATCTCAATTGATCCTCTTAATGAGTCTTAGTACAATTGTATGTCTGAGAAGAGGAATCAAGAATTGAAGAAATGGTTAAATCAAGAAGTCAATCATACTTCGTTCCAAAAACAAGTCTTAGAGTTAAGATTGTGACATTGTGTGACAAGTCTTAAGAAGGTTTATAACATTCATCAAATGTGGAAAGTTGTGATTTCTTGGATAAGACAAAGACCAACTAGGACCAATTTTGTGAAGTGTTTTGTCTTGATAAAAGCTACACTAACTCTTGAATATTTGTTTGTCGAGAAATGTTTATTGACAAGAGAATCTTATCTGTCAAGGAGTCAGTGGGAGTCTTAATGGTCTTGAAAAGTTCAAGAACTAATCAAGAATAAACCTTATCGATCATCACTAGCACACGACTTGAGGTTTACAACCTATCGTGTTGACACTATCTCGTTTCTGTGCGGTTCCAATTGAGTTAATTATGCATATGAGTTCTATGAGTTCTCATTTGAACGCATAAAAGGCAAACACTTTGATCAATGAAAAGTACATTGATAGGAAAAGGTGAGCTGCTTAACTACTTGGAAGACATGGTGGGCAGTCGTGTTACCATAAGGCAATAGATCAAGATTGAGAAGGTTCGGTCCATATGAGTTTGGATTTGTCGCAAACTTTGGTTTTGACAAATTCGCATGGATAGGAACACATACACCATTAAAATCTAAGTGTCATAAGATTCCCTCCTTCATGAAAATGACAGTGAGGACATGCTTTCACTAAGAGAGATTTTAAGAAGATAGTGATTGTGAAAATTGTATTCTCGAATTTTATTATGGTTAAAGTATCCCTTTTCATAATTCGAATTGTGAGATTTGGCAATTAGTCTGAATTGTTTAGACACACATATAAGCTATCTAAGGCAAAGGTGTATAAATTTGAGAAGCTTAGATAAAGGATTATCAAAGCATTAGGTATTAGAAATATGAACTTAAGAAATTCAATAGGTATTGTTTTTCTGGAAGTTAAGTTGTTTTCTGAATACATGTCAAAGCTAGTGGGAGCATAAGTGTTATGCTTATATGATAATAATCATCATGATAGTGGGAGCATAAATGTTGTGCTTGTATGATTATTAAGGCAAGTATTGCAAGTTAGCAATATTAATTATAGAAAACAAGAGTTATACTTTGCAAAGTCATAAAGGTTGAATAGTTGTTTTGCTATAATTAAGGGAGAGAGTATTATGCTTCATTTCAAATCTAAAGGCTTAGGTTGTGGAATGTTAACAATGTTAGTCAAGGATACATAGTGTGTTCTCAAATTTCGATTATGATTATGGCATCCCTCTTCATAGTTCGAATTGTAAGAACGTGACACATAAAATATTATGACAGAAGATTGATAAAGTATCGTATATGTATGTAAGACATTATGCATCGTGTCCCATATGCTTCGGGTATAGGATCGATTGCAAGTGCTATAATATTTGACCATTCTAAAATTTTCCAAATGTCTAGCGCATTTAGAGGAAAAAAGGACTAGAATCGGTTTTGACTAAGATAATTAAACAACTATCAAAGGACGATCCAAAGCTCGCTAAGGATTGGTCGCTTGTGAGTAGTTGGAAGTATGGTATTGGATGGATCATATCGACATTATTATGAATAGATAAGATTCTATTAAGAATGAGTTGTCATATGGTAAATATGGAAATGTTTCCATATTGGGAGTTGGATATTGAGAATCTATGTCTAGATTAGAAACTTTTATGCAAGAAGGATGTTCAGAGGAATGTACTTTGAGTGAGAGACATCATATCTATAGAATTGTTTCTGATAGAGATTGGCCAAGTCTTGATGATTTTGAGCTATGACTTTACGAAAGGATCATTTCATAAAATGTTAAAATCTAGCATAAGTAACAAGAATTTGATATTCTTATACTTATGATAAGGATTGGGAGTTGTGAAATGAGTATGATTGGAAATGTGTTCATTTGATCTATTTCACAAAGTAAGGACCGTAGGTAAACATTGTGTGCATGCTGAGAGCATGGGACAAGTGTAGCAATAATTCAAGTAAGAAGTTGATTACCCGAAACAACAAATAATGAGTAATCAATATGGTGATTAAATAAAATGTTTTATTTATACCCAGAGTTTGGGGCCATATGGGATTAGTATTATTCTTGTGTTTCACTTTGCATGTTTTGACTTCCTGAATAGTTAATTGGTTCAGAACAATCAAATTATTCGAACGGACCACAGTCATTCATATGTTGGAAGTAGGTATGAATGAAGACCGTCGTGAATTGGTGTGTGAATTGTCTAAAGTGTATTAGACATAAGCAAATGTTTGCTGCAACGTTCATGAGTGCTTATGAATATGATTTGAGCATTGGATTAAACCCATGCTCACTTGGATCACTTCATGGGTTTTATCACGAGTGATTGGTGAGACGATAATATCTTATATTCTTGAAACCGAGATGTGTGAGTTGTATCTTGCGAGTCGGTTACACATTGATAATATGTAAACGCACCAGTAACTTGGTGTTATAAAACATATTGTTGTGTGTGATTCGGTAAGTGAGTGCAAGCAAGCATTGAATCAAAGTTTATCCGTTCCTTTTATCCAAAGTAGGATAAAAGTGATATCTGTGGGCCCCTCGATGATTTAGTGATGGCACATAAGCGCTTGGCCAAGCCGAGACTAATTTGATGTGTTCAATTGTAGTCTGTTGTCAGTCGTCATAAATCGGAAATCGGGAAACAGAACATAGACTGAGAGAATGATCAAAATCCATGTCTCATGTCTATACGATATCAAGAATTGAGGAATATATGATCCCTTATCTAAAGGACACGCTTCTGATAGGATCAGAGTTGACAGCGGTTTTTGAAAGCTACGATTGCATATCAGGATCTGAAGTTATACGCAGAATAGTTATTAGACTTATCCAAGTGGGAGACTGTTGGATTAGTGTCTAAGTCCATAACTATTTTGGTATGTACTTGACCCGATTATGCATGGTCCTTTTGGGTTGCCTTCACACTGGTGACTAGACAGGATGATTGTTGAGGAGAGAGGCTGGTTTATTGTTAAGAATAATAAATTAGGGTATAAATATGATTTGTTAATGTATTACATGAATAATATATTAATTTGGAATCATATTATTAATTAGTATTTAATCAGAATTTAATTTAGAATTAATTTTGGGATTAAAGGAACTGACTAAAAGTCCAAGGGCTTAAGGAAAGGAGTCCATGGACTTGCTTAGGCCCTAAGCTAAGGGATTAGGGTTTACACCTTGAAACCCTAGTTAGCCTTAAGTATAAATAGCACCCTAAGGCACTAAGATTTCGTCCAAGCCTTGGGAAACCCTAAAAGGGACAAAATCTAGGGCAAGATATGTAAAAACCGGTTCAATTCGGTCATAGTTCGACGATCAAACCCCCGTGGGCCGCGATGCAATAAAGACCAATGGCACGTAGATTGGGGTCTCTTAAGTATAGGTGTTTGTAATTTTAATTTAACCAGCCGAGGTTTAACAAACTAATAAATTTTACATGGTTAATATATATAAGTTCAAATTTATATATATATATATATATATATATATATATATATATATATATATATATATATATATAAATATATATATAAATGTGTGTGTGTTAATTACCTTTGCAATTATCTAAATACATGTAGGATATGTAACGTGTATATATTCAAAATAAATATACACTTAAAATTTCGTGTTGTGTAAAAATCCTAAAAACCAAATACCTTATATACGTACATACACCAATACTTCTAATAATATATCAAATTCAAATAGAGGAATATACAAATACAAACAGCCAATGGACACTAATAAGATGACAGCCAATGGACACTAATAAATTGACAGCCAATGGACACTGTAGGGGAATGACTTTATTCCTTCCCTTTTTCTTCCTTGTTTCCTGCAATCTATCAAAGAATCCCAAACACTTTTCCCTACATTGATTCCCATTAAAACAATCATCCATTCTTCCATTTTCAAAGACAATTAAACAGAATCAAAACAATCTTACCATTCTTCCACTTTCAAAGACAATTAAACAGAAACAAACATCGGAAATACCCCCCTCCCCATGGAATTCCCGTTCTTCCCCTGTCAAATAATCAAAACCCAATCACTATCGAAAATTTGTTGATCAAACTCCATACTTTGCAATCAAAATCACAACCACAGACAAAGAAAATTCGGACAATTCAACAAATGTGGAAGCAATCAAAAGTCAAATTGTAAGTCACAGGATCTTCTGTAAATCGAAACCCTTACAGTGAAAATTTGATCGATCCTTTGTATCTGCTTGCATCCTTGTTCCCAGCCAAGATCGATTTTTGTTCTTGATCTCGTGTTTATCTGCAACAAGAACCACATTTTCCAGTTCATTCTTCCTTCTCTTTTCACCATTGTTCTTCCTTCTCTTTTCTGTCAAACGAAACAACCAAACGTCCCAGTTAATCCATCGATTCCAGCCAAACACATACCTTATTCCAACCAAACCAAAACAGAAAGAAGATAGAAACAAGGAATTACCTGAGCATATAACCCCATCTACTCACCTGTTGAACGTCGACCAACAGCCTCACCCCGATGCTTCCATTTCTTTTTCCTTATCAGTCCAGCCAAGCACCGAAGGAACCTCCTTCCTCAATCGCTGCTTCTTCATGCCCTCATCTGTTCGTACCACATCGACCCTCGCTGTTGCTCCATTCCCTTTCTTTGCTTCGGCTTATCGAACCCAGGAGACCATATCGGTTTGTGAAGCCGACCGACAAACCATCGCTGCTTCTCCATCCCTCCTCTTTGGTCTCGTCGACCACCGACGATGCTCCCCTGATGGATTTACCATCATCGGGCCAAGTACCACCATCGTCGCCTCATTATTTCTTTGAATCAGATGAACCCCAGAGTAGCCTCTCCGACCCACCCACGATCGATGCCCATCGGTGCTGCTTCGACGGCGTTACGTTCCTTTCTCGTTCCCGATCAAGTGAAAGGAAGAAGGCGACTCTTCTGTTTTTGGAGCCTGTTAATCAACTGGAAACGGGGTAAGAGCCCTGATCCTTTTTGTAAATGGATCCACTTGTGTGGATCGGTCATGGAGCCCCGATAAAACCAATGAGTTTTGATTTTGACCCGGTCAAAGCTAAATCAAACTTGTATTTAAATTAAACAGAATTGGTCCCTTCCCCAGAAAAACCTAATAAATTAAGTCCTAATACCCTAGAACAATTTCAAATGCACATGTTTAACCCCTGTCTTGAGAATAAATCTCAATATCAGTCCCTGAAGTATGATTTTGGCAAAATCAAACCCTAGAGTTTATTCATTTTAAGAAAAACCACCATATACTTAATAATTAATACAAAACTACCATTTGGTTTATTAGGAAATACAAATATACTCGGTGATTCGTCTTACGAACGAGGTATGTCACGTAACAAATCTTATGACAAGTTTCTCAAAGGAATGCAAATACCGTACCAATGGAACTCACGCTTCAAGGGTGAGTTCATACCCCTACATTTTATATTTTTATTAAGTTTTAAGGGGGGGGGGGGGGGGAATACAAGTTAAATCATCAATATCATAATTAAACGTTTTCAATAGATTACATCAGAAAAGTTGAACTTCAATCACGACCGGTTTTGGTAAACTTAAACATTTTAGTTTTCAAAACAACACAAGGTGCAAGTAGTTCAAGTTCTTGATTTTCAAATGGCTACTTGCACATCACCATACGAGTTTTCTATAATTTATACATAACTCAGTATTGGTATAAATATTGTTTTGTTTACGCTACATGTATTTGTAGTGCATTGTCATTTTGTTTTGTTTACGCTACATGTATTTGTAGTGCATTATCATTTTTAGTCTAATCTCCATAACTATGCCCGTATTCTTGAGGTACGTTATGGACAATAATAGCGCTATTGGGTTTACCACCCCACCTTGGGACGCTAAGGTGATTGATCGCACGTGGTTGAGTGTGTATGATGATTAGATGCTCCATCCTATATATATACGTATGTATATGTATAGGGTGAGGACTATTTGTTGTTGTTACCTTTGTTAATCAACTTTCAATTCTATAAACCATTATCTCGAATACAATTGTTTGCCAATTTCAAAAGAAAACAAATACTATGTTTGTAAGTGAAAAGCATTTAATAATACAAAACAAAAACTTATGAACTCACCAACCATCGTGTTGACACTTTTTCAAACCACTTGTACTCTCAGGAAATCATTAAACAGGTAACCAAGTGTTGTTGAGAATGGGATGCTAAGACGTAAAACATTTCCTATCTTGTCCATGTATTGTAATTGATTTATAAACATGTAAATCATAATGATGTAACTTTTCAATTATATATATATATATATATATATATATGTTGGTTGTGTTTACTTGAATTACTATTGCAATTGTTGTTATGATATTATACATGAAGTCCTCCACCCCCGGACGTTTCCGCCATCCTCGGTTTGGGGGTGTGACAGATTGGTATCAGAGCACAGTTTATAGTGAATTAAGTGTATCAAACCACATAAGATATACAAACTATAAACACAATTGGGACTAATAGTCTCTGATTTGTGCATTTTCCAAATAAATATACCTTTAGAAAATAAATGTTTTTCTTAATTAAAGTATACCTACCAACATTCATACAAAGAACAGGGTCACAAGTACAGAACAAAAATATTACGATTGTTGGACAACACAGGTGGGCTTAGAGACATATAGTCAAGTCGGGGAAGATGTAGCCTGATCAACTACATTATCTGGGGTTTGACTAGCGTGTGCCTAAGTACGTTTGTGAAGTTTCAACAAAAAAAAAAATCAATAGACAAACACAATGAAACTAAAAAGGGTATCAATCTATCAAGAGAAAAACACATACAATGTAGATTTAAAATCCACTAATTATAACAAAATGGCTAAAAGAAAAGGTAAGGACTAAGGATTTTTAAGTCCTCTCTTCTTATAAATAGCTTTGAAGCAAGCTTGCCTAAGCCTCTTTGTTCTTTCTGTCAATTCCATACCGGGCAATTTCTCCATCATCTTCTTGTGCCCTGCTAACGTCTCTACCTCCTCCTTTAATCCCAACTCCTAGTTTATTTTAGGTAGATGCAATACAATTTTCGTGTGAGTTCATGAAATTTACAATGAGTTAAGTTTATGTAAATATAAATCAAAAATCGTAGTAAAACAATTGATTCGATGTGGCATATGCCTAAGGCCTATGTTTATGTTATAAAGAAACTAATAATTAAAATTTTAGAAAATACCAAAACTACTTTGGTTACCAAGTGCATGCATACATGCATGAGTAATGAATAGAAGGTTATTAGAGTAGTTTACCTTGGCATTTTGAATGAGGGATTCAAGGCTCTTAAGTTTCCTATGAGGCCATCTGTTTATGTTTAGCTCCCTGCATCTTTTCTTCAATAATGTTGCCCCTATCCCTAGTTCCTTTGCTGCCATGATTATCGGCATCTCAAAGTACTTCGCTATCTCTTCAAACTCCAATGGTCTCAATCTATTTGCCACCTTACGGCCACCGTGATCAGTGGTGGCAGCACTAGAACTACCAGTAGCATCACCACCGGGTTTGCAGTCTTCCCTGAAACTAACCGATGGTAAATTACCATCCTCCCAACAATCCCATAAGCTTATGTCTTCAAGGGGATCCAAATCGTGAAACTCATTTCTAGAAATGATGTTTTGATCTTGGTTAAGTACTGTGGAAACGTGCTGATCAAGCCCTTCTGGCAATTTTTCTGACAACTCGTAATTATGATGGTCGAGCATGTCACCACTGTCAGGAAAAAAAAAAAAAAAAAAAAAGCAAAACTCAAGATAATCAAATCCAACCCGATGAAATACTCTTTTGATCACTACAAATCCAAATCATGTTTTGATCAATATAGACAAAATCACTTTTCTGTGCGAAAGATAGGGTAATGAGTGACGTTTATATATACCTGAAAAGATCTTGATGATCAAAGTACGGAAACCAATCGAGGTCATATATGGGGTTTTGATGATCTGCAGGTGGATCCATTTGTGAGGGAGAAGTTAAAAGTTGCGGTAAGAATGTGATGATTTATATAAGTGAAGTAGGAGAAGTAATTAATAACAAATAAAGAGGAAGTGAATATAAATACTCGTTGAGCCGTAACTTTCTTCTTCCATTCACACACGTATAAGTATATACTGCTAAAATCTTGACTTGTGTGCCGCATGCATTTAATGCTTCACATGTCTACCCTGCAAATCCTTGACTTTGAAGCGACGTATCAGTTCCCATATACCTCAGATTAAATTCTTTTCACTGCATACTACAAGTCTTCAATCATGCAAAAGAAAACACGACTTGTTGTAGCTAAACTACTTACGTTCGTTATAATTATTTGACTCGTATAAACTTGGTTGCTATAAGCTGCTTTGTATGTGTATGCTAGTGTCAATTCATGAGGTCTTATCACATTTAAGTCCCTGGAATCAGTTCACACTAATCATTAACTCGTTTGAGTATATGGTCATCATGGATAACGCTAGCCAGAAGTAGACAACTCCTCACTTGCACGATTCGCTTGAGTGCATTTTACCATTTTATACACTATGTTTTTTTGATACATATAGTAGTCCCTAGGGCTTAATTCGGTCATTAGGCTGGGGATATGAACTCATGAATGGGGACTTGGTACATCTACGAGTCTTGCATCACGTTTTATCAACAAATCGTGTATCTCATTTTAGCAACAAATCTTGTATCACATTTTAGCAACAAACTTTGTTTCCCCTGAGAAAATGACAGTTGCATCTCATTTGGGCAACATACTTCATCTCTCATGATAACAACAAGTCATGGTAATAGAATAAACTTGACATCATTAGTAGTTACGTCTCATATAACTTCTTGTAAACATCATACTTTGACATTACTACCAATATTCATGTAAATTTCTTTTGTGTTTCAGAATTTTAAATTTATGTTTGAGTGAGAATTAGGTTTAGTGAGTTGCATATTCATTAAGGAAGACCTCAACCGTATAAGGAAAATCTAGATTTATCATACCTATATAACATCTGGAAGAGAAACATGTTTTGTATTCAGTTCCCTTCTCGATTATAATTCTAACAATGTCATACTTTAGCCTTTTAAATGTACGAAGAAATGATTGAACCCTTAATTCCCATATCAGCAAAGTAGAATAAATCAATCATTCTCATCGCTATCAAACAACTTCATACCGCTAAATGTGAAAACCTAACAATATTGTAAACCATAAACAAGTCCATATATATTTTTCATCCATACCAAAACTTATCTTGTAGTCGATTATCCCTAATCAAAGCATCGTATGTTCCCCACGACGGTATACATCATTAACATCCTAAGTGGTTAAGACAGTTGATGATCAATCAAAATCTTTCGCATAGTAAACTAAGAATTTTAATTTCACAGACAAAATTAGCAAATCTAAGTTTAATTGACACAACTCATTGGGTTGAAATAATTCCTCAAATCTGATAAAATCCTTTTGAACCTATACCTATTCGTAAATTTTATATTACTCGTCATATAGTTTGAAAATAATTAGCTAACCCAATGGGGCAAAGTTTCACAAAACTAGTCTAAACATACGTATCTAATATCGTAATATATTAAAACTAGTACCGAAAAAAAAAAAAAAAAAAAAAAAAAAAAAAAAAAAAAACCACAACTTTTCTCTTAAGGTACTTCTTTCTTAAATTTCGGGACGAAATTCCCTTCAACAGGGGGATAATGTAAAAAACCGGTTCAATTCGGTCATAGTTCGACGATCAAACCCCCGTGGGCCGCGATGCAATAAAGACCAATGGCACGTAGATTGGGGTCTCTTAAGTATAGGTGTTTGTAATTTTAATTTAACCAGCCGAGGTTTAACAAACTAATAAATTTTACATGGTTAATATATATAAGTTCAAATTTATATATATATATATATATATATATATATATATATATATATATATATATATATAATATATATATAAA